TCCGAATATTCTCAAAATGAAGCTCCCGGGCTTTTGGGCTCCGTTCCAACTGCCTCTTCCTGCGGCTAGACCCGTTGCATAAAACCGTGTGCGCGCCTGCCCCCTCGCCCCCTACCGTCCACTTCTCTCTTGTCAGCTTCAAACGGAAACTTTTAGCATCGGTAGCCCAGGTCCTCTACCGTGTTCGAGCATCCCCAGCCCCCTCCACCCCTCCCTCCGTTATCGACGACCATCTTAATTGACATTCCCTGCCTGGCCCGGTTCAACCTTGTATCGAGTAATCGTCGATCGTCCCCCGAGTTTTACGGCCAGCGACGAGCACGCGAGGAAACGACATTTCAGATTTTAGCTCCCCTGGCGGATAAGTCTCGTCGCCGTGGACTACTATGTACATGTACGGGTCGGTTAAGTGGAGATTCGAGAATTTCGAGGTGCATACTGCTCCCTGAAACGAGATCCCAGGCAATCTCGGAACTCGTAGCTTCCACTTAAGGCACTCTCGTCATTCCTGACCTATAGGACTGTGGTACTCGGGTCCGAAGATGGAAGGAAATCTCGAATGATTTGCCAAACATTGACCTGCTCTTTCGCGAAAGCAAAGTGAAAAAGTTCGTAGCTCTGCAAAAGTTCTGCACCGGTTCGGGCCATCGATCGCGACCAACGCGCAACGAGGGTACCGTTTAATGGATCGGACAGCTCGGAGCAAACAAGGAGAAAAAGCCCGTGCAGAATTATCCGACAGGGTGAATGTTTTGTTTCGGTTCGGCGATGCAATTAGTAATGTCCCGGAAAATGGATTAAACAGGGGAACTCGGTTGATCCTCGTTTACCTCGGCTAAACCTGATTAGCAGACGGAAAATGCTATCTCCTCGGGTACCTAAGAACGATCAAAGGACCAGCTCGCTTTCCGGAAAATCGTGCACGGTAATCGAATTAATAACGGCGAACCAGAGTCTGCGACACGATCCTTAAGGCGATTCTAATTAACGCTAGCGCGTTTACAGGCTCATTACGCGTGACGTAGCTGACGCCGGGGACCGAAGCTGCGCGATGATAGGGATAGACTTGTCGACGCGAGGCATTTCGCGTGGCCGTCGTGGCTGTCGTGACGAGGGAGGACAGCTCGCCCGCGACCAATGGATGAAACGAATTAAGGGGGTGGCTGGACAAAGACAAACGAGAAGATCGGCATCATCCTTCTTCCCCCAGTGTCGGTTCCAGCGCGATAAAAAGCAAACGAAAGCACTCGAAGTTGACTGAAAAAAGAAAAAAGAAAAAAAAAATAGACGGTATCGTTCTATCGTTTCTAGTTTGCCGTAAACGACAAGGGAAAACAGGGGAGGAAACTCCAGAAGGTTTGGGAGTTCTGGCCCCGGGGAGAACCGGTGCGGCAGTAGGAACCAGAACGGCAGCCCGGGCAAGTGAAATGGAAACGTTAAACTTTGCAGCCGCGTTCTCAAAGCGGGCCGTGGGATGCAACCGGTTACCGATACATCGATTTCGAATCCGACGAAACACCGAGAGTTCTCTGGATTTCCCGCGCGTCGACTCGTGAACATCGCGACCATCTTTCGAGGTACGCGAGAGTCTCGAAGTACTCTGACCGGTATTTCATGATAATCCGAGGCTCTCGACAAAGCGTAACGAGTCTATACGAGCGATTCGAATCACAGATCTTGACTGACGGCAAAACGGCGATTTAAAAATATTCTGTAGATACCGGTTTATTAGTCATAAAGCGTGCCAGTGAGCAATTAAAAAATCCCCAAATCCTACTACACCTCTATAAATCATTAGTTCTATCCCATCTTGAATATGCCTCAAGAATTTGGTCACCTTATATAATTAAACACTGCGTCCTCCTCGAAAGAATCCAACATAAATTCTTGCGTTTCCTCTCTTTCAACACGGACACACCCATGAAATACAATGACCACAACTACAATAGAATAATGATCAAATTCGATCGATATTTTGGGGACTGTCCCCTTTAATCGGATTCGTATCGTATCTTTCTATCGATGGTCGCCACGAGAACGAATAAGTCTTCCACGAATGAAATCGACTCGGAGTATTCCCGACTCGAGACGACCTACCCTGTGCCGCTCGATAAATTATTCGCTCGTAATTAAGCGTAATTCGCACGACATCCAACCAACAAAAAAAAAAAGTAATAAATGCAATAAAACGATAGACAAGAAAATTTTCGAACGACTAGGCACGAAACGGGATTAAAAAACAATCGCGCGATCGCAGCCCTGCGTTCGTAAGCACCTAGGAAAGCAGGGGTGCACTTGCTCGAGGACACAAGAGAGAGAGAGAGAGAGAGACACGTCTTGGCAAAAGATGGTGGAGAGAAGAAGAAATCTTGAGCCGTTCTGTCGTTTCGTGCCACCTTCTCCGAGATTCAAATGGCCTCGTTCCGAATCGATTTCGAATTATCTTCGGCGAACGGATTCCGTTGGAGCGGGGATAAAAGGGAGAATCTGTGTGTCGGCGTGTAATGGAGGAAACGGTTGAGAGACGAAGAAAAACTTACGCGTAAGGAGGCCGACAGATGAACGAAGAGAGAGAGAAAAAAAAAAGAAGGAGTGAGAGAGAAGCGAAAAAGACCGCGGGGACTTTTACCGAGCGAAAGAATGCCTGGCGAAAGACAAAGAAAGAGCTCGAAGAACGACTCTCGTCCGATTAAACGGACGTGGCTGCATTTGGCAAGGTATTCGGCCGACTAGCGAACCGTGTCACGGTTTTATCTACTTGTTGGCTTTAACTCCATCCGCGAACGATCTCCTCTGGCCAGGACGAACGTTTCGCTAATTGAACGGACGATCCGACGGGTCACTGGCGAAATTCTTGACCGCGTAAAATGACGGAACACCGATGGTTTTCTGTCCACGTGAACGCTGGATCATTTTCGACGAATAAGAATTCACTCACCGAAACTTTCTTTTGACTATCACAAAAACACTGTACCATAATTACCGTACTCTTCCGCGTATGTCAAAGGTCGAATTAACGATGTGTGGTTTGAAATGTATGGGTAATGTATAATATGTATAAGAATTTCTATGTCTATCGGAGACGATGTGTATTGGTAAACGAACAGTGTAGATCTGACTAGAAGTCTCTCGGTGTGCGTGGCGCTGGTGGTGTGTTGAACCGTAGTGGGGAAACGCAGTGAATATTCTCGTAATCTTATTGGCTAAGACAAGCTACAAACACCATGATTGGGAAATTCTTTAACTATTGTCATCGACGGCAGTAACTTCCGTCGCAGGTAATATTCGCCCAGATGGCGAACACCCTTCGCCTGACTCGAGGCATAAAAGGATATAAAGCAATTAAAGGAGCCCTGAGTTTCGCCGTTTGGAAATTAATGAAAACTCACGTAGCGAATCCTACCCTCGGTCCTAGAAGCTGTAAGAAAAACCAATGACGGTAAAATGGCCGAAACGATATTTCGAAAAATTATCACTAGAACTACCAATGCAGTCAAAATGACTGCTAGTGTATTCTTGTATTGGCAGTTTAAAATATTACAACACTTTTCTTAGATTTTTCGCAATTTTCATTGCAATCTAAAGTCGAAGAAATTAGTTAATGTATAAAGTTAAATATTTTCAGAAGTTTGTCACGTATATCGTCGGTAGTTTTAACGAAATAAGACCGCAATGAAAACGATCGAAACCGGTTTAATTAATGTACCAAAGGAGGGTAGTTCGCTGGGCATGGCCCAAGTACGATAGATACTCTCGGGACAACGCGCCTGATATTTTGGGACAACCGGCGATAGCCCGTCGTCCCGTTCCCTTTCATCCTGTCCCTCTTTCGTTCCCTTTTCCGGCCGTCGCGAAGTCAGCTCTTTTCCCTAGGTTCCCGCCGCCGCTCTTGTCACGTTAATTTGTGCAAGGGAGCCTCGAATGCTTGAACCAAACGCATTCGTTTTGTCTCCTCGTTACCAGGAACAAAAGGGAAACGGTACAAAAGATAACGAAACTGGCGCTCTTTTCATCCGGTCTTATTAAACAACTAAGTGCACCGCGCCGGTATTGTCGTTGGCCTTGAAATCCGGCCTGATAAGCCTTGTCAGCCACCTCTCTCCTTTTCTCTCCCCTCTCCTCGAGCGTTGTCAATCTTCACAAAGAACTAATCAAAGTCAAAGGGTCCGAGCTAATAAAGAATACCCGTGTGATTGTTATTCGGTGGCTGACTGGTCCTGAAACTCATGGAAACGCGCGAAGACAGACAGAAAGAGATAGGGGTGCATAAAACAACCGGAAGTACCGACGTTCGATCCTGTTCCATGTCTTTACGGTGTCCCCGGTATATCGCGCGACACCGAAACCGATAAATTTGTAATAAAGTCGCGAACCGTGACATCCCCCGCTCGTAAGAGTTATCGAGACTGGTGCTCCATCCACCCCTCGAGTAACGTGCTCGCAATAATAAAGAATCTATCCGTTTTATTCCCCCCGTAATGCAATTCCCTCCTCGGATGTTGCGTCTAATATCCGAACGAGGGAATGGAGGGGGGGGGGACCAAGTAGGAAATATTGTTCGCGAGTACGTTCCGTGTCCTTCGAAGAAGAGACGATTTTACGAGGTGGTGCCCGAACGAACGAAGTCGAAGCGTTTTCTAAAAATACTCGGCCCGGAGTGTATTAATTTCACGTGGGAAAAGAAAGAGTAGTAACGTTCCGACGATAACGTGACCGAGTAGTCCGTGCTCGCTCGGAAAGACGGTGGCGGTCGTCGCGAGGCTAGGAGGCGCTCGTTTATCGGCCATTTATCGCGAACGGTGTAACGTAACGAGAAACGAAATCACGATCGGAATCTCGCGCTGGGTCATGAACGCCCGCAGAAGGGAAGAATGGATCGAAGCAGAGCTGTCGCCGGAGGAACCGCCGCGTGCGGCTAATCGTTTTCGCAAATGGAACGAATGAAGATATACACAGATACCCCGTGGGTATTGTTTTAAAATACGAATTACTGATTTCAGAACCAGATCCTGGCGCACAACACGTCGGCGAGGATAATCTGGTCGAATCAGAGCCTGGTGCTACAAAGCGTGACGAGGAGCAGCGCCGGGAAATATGTCTGCGCTGCGACGAACGACCTGAACGAAACGAGGAGCGAGCCCCTTCATTTTCGCGTCAAGTGTGAGTACACGAGAGTACCTTCAACGATCCCCCATATACGACACCCAGACCCCGTGACTTTATTTTAATCGAGCGTACTTAATCGAGGATTTTCCATGGTAGTGCTCATTAACGAGCCTCCCTATTCACCGACCAGATGATCCCGCGCGCCCGTAAGAGGTCCCCGTATATTTATTGCGTGGGGCCAGCACCTGCCGAGGATCGAGGCTGAATATTTCAGGCGTACTTAGTTCTGGCTACATTTTTGATATCCAATTCCCCGGGTTACGTCGAGCGAACGGCTGAGCGACCGCAGTGCGGTCTCGAGAACCGCAAGAGATTCACCCCAACGTCTATCTCAAGTCCAGTGTATACAAATTGAATACCCTTTATTTTTGAAAAGGAAAAATTAGAACAAACACCTGTCGTCTCGCCTCGGAGCTTTTGCAACGCGTGTCATCGTAATGTCGAGCGAAAGCCGCTCGATCCGCGGAAATCGTGAATTCCTAGCGATTCCGCGAACGGAACGATTAAGGGAAACGAGTCGATTTTACGTAAAACGGTATTTATTCGGTAGTTTCGACCACTTACGCGGTAATCCAAGGTGCGGACGTTACCGCGGAATCGTAAAAACTCGGTCGATCGTCGGGTTCGAATCCCCGCCATTCGAGTATGGATGCGTCAGAAAACAAGACCAGACGCAAATTCTCTTGATATTTAACCGCGGCTCGTGACGGCCCTCGTAAAGGTCGCGGAAACGAGCCGTGATAAGCAGCAATCTCTCGCGAGAGTTCGCGAACCGGAGTCGACCCCTCGTGTTTGGGATTTAGTTTCCCCGGTTATTACATAGTCGCGGCCCGCTTCTGTATATGACACTTTGCTTCAGGTCATTCACGTTTGTGGAACAAGGTGCTGGTTCCCTTTCCCCTGGTCGAGATTTAAATCAATTTTCGATCGAAGCTTTCACACGGATGAAAGTTTCGAATTGCCAAACATTTTGGACGATTTCGGTTTTTTGACGGAGGGATCCCTCGTGTTCGATAAGGGCTGACGACGTGGAATAAACAGGTTCGGAAATCGGCTCGGCGACCGAAAGTTTTTTCGTTTTTTTTTTTTTTTTTTTTTTT